CCATTAAAAACTGTGATTCTCTGTGGGACCTTTTCAGCTTTGCCCGCCGGTTTTGGAACCAAATCTGGATTCTGTCTTCCTCTAGATTTAGTTTTTGAGCTAAGTCTTCTCGGATATCAATGCCAGGATAGCAGTTTACTCTAAAGACATTTTCCAATACTTCAATCTGGTTTTGAGTAAACGCAGTTCTTGGTCTTCGTCCTCTGCACCAACTCATCTCTCTTTTCAAGGCCAGTCTTTCCGAGGTTGAGAGGTAATGTTCACGGTTTAAAACTCTTTCTTCTGTCCCTGGGTGATCCACTGTGCTAGGCAGACTCGGGGCGGGTAGACACAGGTTACCATCTTTCCCTGAGGAGCTGCAAGCATCTGCCCAGGGCCTGTGAGGCTTCAGCGGCGGCACCCCGTCCTTCTTCTGGTCCAGTCCTAAGATGCGCTCGATGGAAAAGGAGCAGGGTGCGGGTTTGCCTTCCCTCAGCTCTGTATAATTATTAAATAGTAGAAAAAATTCAAACTCAGACAACCTGTTTAGTTGATCATTTCTCTATGTCAACTTATATTCAATAGTCTAGTAAATTGAAAATTATATTCAGTAGCAAGGATAAGCCCACTTTTAATTCATCCAGTATATTGATATATGATTTTTACAGTTACAGAGAGATAAAAAAGGCTGTTTTAGGAAGCATAATAAAATATAATTAGTAAAATAATAGAAATCTTAATTTTCTAAATCACTTTTTGTTAGAGTAACAGATGAGCTTTTATCCAGTTCTTCATACATATATCAAAATTCAGAAAAGTGAGGTGGTGGTACAAATCTTTATACCTTGAAACTTTATACAACTGACTTTTTATTTGATTTCTTTGTCTTTTTAATTATTCTTGATGAAACCTCCTGTACCTTGCAAAGCTAAATATTAGTTGATCAAGAATAAATCCACCAATGCCCAAATAACTAAAGATATCACAGAGAAATGCTGTGAGAAGACCTCTGAGCATAGCCAAGAACATAGCTATTGTACCAGAGCAGTTATTTTTATGAGACAAATAAATACTGTGTTATGCATTGCAAATATATACTAATAAAAATTTGAAATTTGAAAAAAAAAAAGTTTAAGCCTAAGGTAAAAAACAATCCCTTAGTGTACACGTGAGCAAAAGTTTAGCTTTTTTGAAAATGGAATTAGAGCTACAGAATTGGATCAATGGAGATGAGTGAGACCGAGTTGGCCAATACTCCTGAATGTACAGCTTAGAACACTGCATGCCAAAACCAAATATGAGTGCTACAATACTTACTTCTGAATCTCTTTTTAAAGGCAAAGAAGATACTTCATTGTTAATATGCATAAAAACATTGCTAGCATGAAAGAAGCAAAATACAAATAAATCAAATACATGCACATAGTTTATCTTTAGGAGGAGCTGCAGGAATCTCTGAGCAGCAGTCATTTCTTCGTTCTTTCTCCTGTGCACTCCCCACCTCTGCTCTCTGTCCTCCTCCTCTAGCTTGGCCCCCTGCGCTTCTCATTGAACAGATTAGTTTTAATTTTCTTCCAAATCAAGGACATTTCTACAGCTTCACTGACAACAGACCACATTTTCTTATAATGTTTTAATTTTTTTTGAGAAACAAAATTTCCATTTGAAAATCTGTGTAATCACACTATCAATGTTGTTTTTCTCAATGGAAAAAAATCAGTGATGTAGCAAAACTAAACTCTATTTCTTTTGCAGTTTTTTCTTTTGTATTTATTGACCCAATAGGAAAATGACTAATGTAGAGGCGCATATGGAAATAAAGGGATTCAGGAAAGGGATGTTCCTGATGCTCTGGTCACCAATCTGAATGTCTGATACCTATGACAACCTACTGAGCCAGGGTTAATTATAATATATTCTCAAGTCATTGCCTATCCCCTAGGGAGGCAGGTGGGCCTGACCTTTGCTTCTTTATCTTGAGGTTTGGCCTTCTTCAGAAGAATCTGCAGCCAAAGTTCTGATGTCTTTATTTTTGTACTGATTTCCTTGAGGGCCCTGTCCCCCTCCAAATGTATATTAATTTCTTCCTAATGCAGCTGCCTATCATAACATGAGAAGCTTTTCTTCCTCTGTGATGCTTTTGGACTATCCCGCCTCATGTTGTGGCTTTGCCATGCAAATTACCCCCAGCAGAGGCCACTGGGTGCCACCCATTCAGGAATCCTCTTAGAAATCCAAGTTATTCTTCTTTCCCTTATTACAATAAAACTCCCCTAACTTCTTTCTCTGGTTCGGGCCTTGTTTCTGGATGTTTTGAGACCATGAACTCAGCACCCTTGACATCCAACAGGTTCAAAATGTTTCCTATATCAGTGTCATGGCTTAGGGAAGCTGAGAGAGTGAAAGGAAAGACTGAGGAAAGAGCGGAATATTTCTAGGCCATGGTCCCACTCATTTTCCTCTTCTAACCAGACTATACCTCAGCTGTAAGCCCCATAATCCAATCAGCTTTTCGAAAGGGTACCTGTGAACCCAAGAGGCTCTTGGAGCATCTCTACGTGGAAACCGTAACAGGCACCGGTAGCATGAGGTTGCCTTCCTCAATAACATCCTTCCAAATTTGCTCCTAACATGGCTACTTCCCAGACTACAGAAAAGAAAAAAAATTAAGGTAAACACCTAGTGGATTGTCTGTAAGAAAACAATCTGGAGGGGTTAGCCAAACAGCTCAGTGTATTAAAGCACCTGCAAGCAGGCTTAGGGACTGGGAGTTGGATCCAGGGCTTGCCATGCTGGCCCCGCTGCCAGGGTGTTTTGAGATGGCAATTAAGACTGGGTGAGGTGGCACGTGCCTGTAATCTCAGCACTTGGGAGGTTGTAAACAAGAGAATCATTACAGGTCCCATCCAGTAGTGAGACCCTGAACACCCTGTAGACCCTTCCCTAAAAATACAGGCAAAAAAAGTCTGGAAATAAAACACTTTGATATTATACAGTACTGATGTTCAAGATGTGTCCTTTGAATTCACTGAACTCTAAAAATTTGGAATTATTATTATCTAGATATTAATACATACACAAAAATTGGAGTGTATAAAGGAGAATGGAATATAGGAAACGATATTTACTAAATCATTTTTTCACTAGACTTTCAGGAGATTTTATGCTCCTTTCTATGAAGAACAGTTTGAAAGTCCAAGGTGCTCTCCATTGCACCACAGAACCACCTAAGAACACAGCTTATAAAACCAAAAAAATCTATTCTCTTTTCAGTTCAGACATGATTTCAAGATCTCATTGTCCTTAGGCAGGCTTTGAGGTACCGGAATACCTAAAGAACACAGAACAACCATAGTTAGAAAGTGAAAGGAGAGTTACACTGTCAACAGCATAATTAACACAAAAGCACATACAATTTAGTATTACCAAAACCAGATACAAACATCTTTAACATTTAGAAAATCCTAATTTCTGTGTAGCAAAGTCCACGCATTCGCTTCCAGACACATGTTTAGAAGTATCCATACTTGCTACATTTTTCAAGGGAAATGTATAGTTATACAACTAACCTAAATTCTTCTAAGATGTACTGATGTTGTAACAGAAAATGACTCCCAGCTAACATACTTCAGTTTATTAGTTCCTGCTCCAGTTGCTGCTACTTTCGTTTCTTAGAAGCAGCTGGTAACTGTGATACAGAGCTGATCAGCATGATGTGTATTGTAAAAACCAATCCCCAACTGACAATCCATTCTGCCTCTGCACTTCCTGCTTGCTTGTCCCATATAAGCCCTAGGTCACTGGAGATCAGGGCTTGATGTTTTGGAAATGATCCCAATTAGGTGCCTGTTGATGTGAATAAAACTGCCTCTAAAAGCTGGGTGTCATTTCTGTGTTTCTGCTTGCCTTTGTAATTTTTTTTTTTTTGCCTTTGTAATTTAAACTTTAGAAAAACATAAGCGATAAAAATGGACAACAGAACACTGTATTCTATGAATTATGTAAAGTTTACACCAAGCCATAT